GTATAAACACACCATCTCCTGTATGTGTCATATGATTCTGTCTTATTTCCAGTAGATACTCGGTCACTGGAAAAAATGCATAATGCAGATTTTGTTGGTCTAAATTGACATTCACACTGGGAGCTTGAAAACGTCTTCTTACCAATGAAGTATATATTTTAGTGTATCCCATATTTATTTATTCAGTATGTATTCAGATGTATTTTAAAATCTGAAATACTTTATACTTCCATGAAACACTACTTCTGAAAGTGTTTTCATCATGGAGTACCACTTATATGACAGAGCTAGGTTGGTACACCAATTGTGAATATTTGCTTAATTGCTATTAGTGCAAAATGTTACCTGTGGGCTGATAACCTGGGAGTGCTTTCCATCCAGAATTCTCTGCTGCTGCTCCATAGTGGCAATTTGTAATGCACTAATGTGCCATTTGGGACTTTCCCTAATTTATATGGATTACCAGTGATGAATCAGAACAGACTGGAAGGTAGAGATAATTTGCAGCAGGCCTTGCCAGCTTTTTCCTTGTTTCCTGAAACTTTGCCTCCCACATCAACATTAGGAGGGGCTGCCATCAGTTTCTCATATGTAGGGAAAACTGTTGTCTAGCCGTTGAGCGTTCTATGCACTTGGAGCGTCCAGGAGCTTTGCAATGGATTTAAACAACTTTCAAGTCTGCATTCCCCAGTTTTGAAATATTTAAAATACTGATCAGCTTGTATCTTGAAGTAACATTACAGTGTATACCTGATGCACACATCAGAACATGCATCAGATTATGTGAAACATATGCCTCTTTTCTTTGTGCTTTGTACTGTCATGACATACTTTTGCTTTTATCTCTTCAGTTATTTCAAGAATCTTAACAGTGTAACAGAATCATATTTTACGTTCTCTGCAGGTGAATATTGGATTGATCCTAACCAGGGATGTGTTGAAGATGCTATAAAAGTATACTGCAACATGGAAACTGGAGAGACCTGTATTTCTGCAAACCCGTCTACTATACCACGTAAAACATGGTGGGCCAGCAGGTCATCTGACGTAAAGCCCATTTGGTATGGCCTTGATATGAACAGGGGATCACAGGTAACTATTTGTATTTAATGTCAAGATTTGACTTCTATGAAGCTTGTTTCCTTCTGATTTAGCACTTCATCTGCTATTCTGAGCAGATTCTGCTACAGTCAGAACATTATAAGTATTGATTTGCTGGCTTATATATTCAACTTGTTGTTATCATACAGTAAACATAGGAAAGAGCTGGGAGAAACAATGCAAGTGCATCTAAGGCAGGATTGGCTCTAAGTATACCATTGCAGGAAGAGATTTATTTCTCTTGATCCCAAAAACTTCAACTTCTCTAGCAGCCTACTTCAGTAAATCACTATCCTTGTCATTAAAAAGTGAACTTTTTACCCTATTATATGATTTAAATCACTGCTGGTTTAATTGAATTATATTTTTTTTTTCCCCCGAGAAAGCTCTTTACTGCTAAAAATTACAAAGCTTACTTTATAAATCCTCTCAGCAAATCTTTTTTTAAAAAAGTATGATTGTTTTTATCTGTGTCAGAATGATGTGTGCTGAATGCATCAGTCTCCAGGCAAACAAAAATTCCACTCCTAGCTTTCTGTTGAGTTTTCCCTCTATACGTATGGTTTTTGTAAGTCAGATTCTCTTTGGAGGAAGAAGTAATCTTCAGGAATGCTATAAAAGAGTATTTAATTTTTGAAAACACTGTCAGATTTGATAACTAACAGTATGATCTCTGTAACAGTCATATGCATTCCTTACAGATTCTAAATAATAAATATGCTGAGATTGCTAAACAGAGGTAACACATTTTGTAAAAAATGATGGTGTGGGTGCGTAAGACATTCTTTTTTTCTTCACTAGTTTCAGAGAAATGTATACGTTTTTAGTCATTCATGACCTTTTTTTTTTTTTCCCCTGCAATGATTCACAAAGCATGAATAAAATGAAACCTGCACAGCTACGGAAAATATCTCAGGAATTTTAGAATTTTTGTTATTGGTATAAAAATTGCTTCTGTTTTTTATAGAAACAGTTGCACATCGTAAAATATTTTTCAAACAAACTTCCATGTAAGTTAATGAGTTGATAATGTCTGTATGCAAATCTATAGTTATTTTTATACAGTCAAACTATCTGACTGTGTTTGATGCTTCTAAATACAATACAAAGCCTATAGAAAACAAGCTACTAAACTTGCAATATAGCAGGTACACCATAAAAAGGGTTTCTGTGCTTGCCATTTCTTATCTAGTTTAAGGTTGCTCTGATGCACTATTTCATATATAAGGTTTGGCTCCTACTGAATTCCTTTTTAAAAGAAGGCAGAATTCATTCCAAAACTTGACATGTCTGTGGAGACCCAACTGCTTTTCACTTGTTCAGCTGCAGAGCTTTACAGTCAAAATTCTCTAAAATGATCCCTGTTACAGGATGTCTACATTTCTTTGTCCTCAACTGGCAGCAAATTACAAAAGAAACCATTCTTAGATTTTATGTAATAGGGCTCCTGCTAGTCATGCCTGGACAGGTTTATGATAATGACAGATGTTTCTAAAATTCATGAACTTTTAATGAATTTTCATGTAATATATGTTGATCTGTTTCTTCATCTTCACAGTTTCTGTACGGGGATACAGCTGTCACTCAGATGACATTCCTGCGCCTCCTATCAAAGGAAGCTTCCCAGAATATCACTTACCTTTGTAAAAACAGTGTTGGGTACATGGATGACCAGACTAAGAACCTGAAAAAAGCCGTAATTCTGAAGGGGGCCAATGACCTGGAGATCAAAGCGGAGGGAAACAGCCGATTCAGATACACTGTTCTGCATGACAGTTGTTCTGTGAGTTTGAGAGTTTTGTCATTTGTTATGGAGAAAAAGGACTCTTCTCTTTTTGGTTTGTCTAATGGTTTCAGTTCTTTTTTGATTTAGAAAAAATCTGTAGAATGGGGTAATTAAAATGCTGCAGAATTTCACCATGAATTATAGAATAGGTATTATACTGCAATTCTAGCTTCACATAGTAGAAGTCTGCACTATTTAGAGGATATTTATTAAATTACTAGTTATTAGTGAGCATACTGTGATACATATCCTGCTATTCTGCATTTTCCAGTGTTTGTGTACCTCTGTGTGGAATCACACAAAGAGGTCAGATAACCTCAAGCATTTATCTGCCAGATGGGTAAGAGTATTGCAGCAATACACTGGAGGAAACCCATTGGTACTATGCCTGCCTGAGTTGGAAAGGAAGATGTTTCCTCAAAAAATTCTTAGAGGCCATAAAAAGCAGCAAGTAGTACATTTTTTTCACATTCTTTAGCATTCTCAGCCAAGTCTGAGATACTGGCAAAATATTTCTAAAATTAGTTTTGCACCTGAAATAAATTAGAGTACTCTCTGTGCTTTAAAGTAATATAGCCAAAGAATATGCGTGCAGGTGCATATTAACACATAGAGAAGAATTTCCTAACATAAAGAAAAATCAGTCCAGCTTGAGGAGGAAATCCTACTGTGTCAATCTGACAGGTCTATGCGTCATTGTAGAAGCAAGATATATAAATTTAAAAATAATCAAGGTGCAGTACAGACAGAAGGGTGTTGGTCAGTGAAGATACAGTGAGATCTCTCTGAATGACCTCAGACAACAGGCTCACCACCTGGAATTCAAGCTGTTTCTGACATGAGCTCTGGCCTAAGTTTTTATTTTATTTTTTTTTTTTTTTTTTTTTTCCCCCTCCAGAAACGTAATGGGAATGTTGGCAAGACTGTCTTTGAGTACAGAACACAGAACGTGGCACGCTTACCTATCATTGATATTGCACCAGTGGACATTGGCAGTACCGACCAGGAATTTGGAATTGAAATTGGGCCAGTTTGCTTTGTGTAAGAGAAAGGGGGGGAAATTAACACAATACCCAGCAACAGCAGCAATTAAACACACGAACTTAGACTGATTGAAGTTAATCCTGAGACTCTTGAAGTAATGTCTGATATTGGATCAGCATTGTATATACGGTTCTTTTTAAATGCCCGGCCTCCTTTTGAATATTTATTTTACTTACAAACTTTCCGTTTTAAATGATTGAAACCAACTTTTTAGTACAACAGTACAATTTTAAGAGGATCGATGACCACCTTTTAAAAGTAATATGAATCTTTTTCCTCGCTTTTGTTTCAAATTATTTCAAAATTTACAGGTATTCAAAATAGATAGTTTTAATGTGGAACTATGTTAAGCTCTAAGGATTATTTCTTTTGCTTGGATGCATACTAAATAACAGAAAAGTAGAGCACTTTTGTGAACCATTGGCTGTATTTCAAGCAAACATATTCCCTCAACCCCAGTTTGTCTTCCTGTGGTTGCCAGCATGATAGTCATTAACAGAATGACTGTCTTTGTTAACAGTCTTTTGTAGAAGAAAATCTCTTCAAACAAGATCCATCTTAATTTGGCGTTGTCTTTCCTGCACTTTCCTATGTCATAGTCTGCTCAGAAGAGTATTCCATAGCCATGAATTATTTATGAAGTAAAAATACTACTGGGGTAAATATGAATTTTCAGTAGGGGTGTCCCATATCTTAAATTTTAAGGCCAGACTTCACTTCTCACAATGTATCTGTGTAATTCTATTAAATTATCCTTAATCTTCAAAATACATCTTAAACCCAATACTTGTTGATTTTCCAATACTTGCCCATCTAGGAAGCCATTACATATCAAATTATACAGATGTTTTATATATGGTGCCAATTTATGTATGTTGCAAATCATTCACATGTATACCAGACCAATTGCTAATAAAGAGAAAGAAAGTTTAGAAATTCATTGGTTTTAGCTGACATCCAGACATGCATCACCACTAATTTGACTTATTGGCCTTGCATTGTCAAGGCAAGAAAATTCCATCATTTCTTAGCATGAGCTACCTCATCTCTGGAAGTTGGGATGCATTTAATATTCCTGTTTTTATTTTAGGTGCTATGCTTCTGTTGTTATTTCGAGAAAGAAGATAGGCAGGGCAAAAACAACAAAAAAGTGATGGTGCTAAATGACTCTGTAGAAGGCTGATGAAATAAAGACGCCTACTGTCAATGTCATTTTCTGAGCTTAGCTGTTAGGCTTATGGTGTTTGAGAGAACGATGTTACAGTGCATTTATTTGTTGGTCATACAGTATATAGAATGTTTTGTACCACTAACATGCTTTATTTTGTAAAGTATGTGGGTACAAACTGACTTAGGTTTCTTTTTTGTTGTTTCTTTATTGCATCTGTGCTCTCCACGTTTTTTGTTTGTTCCTTTAAAAAAGAAAATAAACAGCTGGGGCCATCCCTAAAGAAAGTCATGCACATAGCTTTATTCATGTATCTTTGCAAAGCATTTAATTAAATACATGCTTCTCGCTATGTAAGTGGTTTCCTTTTTGTAGAATTCCTTCCAGTGTGTCCCATATCAGTTCATTTCCAGGAAATTAAAAATAGAAGTATTTACTTTTGGTTTGTTGCTATTTGAATAACTCATTTGCAATGCGTTCTCCTGAAGTATTTTACACGTAAGAATATAAAGGTATTTTGAATAATGCCCTCTTTGTGCCAGTTTTTACAAGATAGGTGTCAATTTGTATGAAGTAATCACCAGCAGTCCTATTAAAGCTACCTGACTAGTATTGTTTGAGACTCCAGAGAAAGAGAATTTTTATTCAAGACTGAATAAAATGTGACTTAGTCAATTCCCACTGTCAATGTAAGTTATCACTGATAGAAAACAGTTTCTGGACAAGCGCTAAAGTTGCATTGTAGCAAGGCAGGCAAGAATTTACATTCCTTTCCTCCTCCTGAAAGGGTAGGAGCTTAGCAGTTTTCCAATTGTTCATATGCATGTCCGTGCAGGGTAGGTAGGGACTGGGAACAGGAAAGTTGTGACAGGTTCATGCTGACGTTACCTGTTTGCTTTTATTATCCAAGCAGGAACCTCTGATTTCTTTTTTACTTGCATGAAATAATTTCTATAAATATGTGACTGAGGATTTAGCTTCTCATTTTGGATCCTTGAGAAATTTTAGATAATGTTCCTCTCACTGAATAATCTGAGGTGTCATGGCTGGCTCCAATACGTTCATGCAAAGGTAGATGTCCAGTGGCTGTGATCATACCTCTACAGGACGTTTATCCAGATACACAAAATAAATAACATTTGGAGTATAGATGCATGTTTGAAAGTTATTTTTAATCTCTGATTTTCTTCAGAGTATTACAATCCATGATTAATATAAATGTTTTGTGAGGTTGTTGAAGAGTATTTCGTTATGAAGGATACTTTTTTTTTTTCTTTTCAAGTCTCTCTTTGCATCTTTATCTCCGTATGAAGTGTGCAGTAGTTCCTCAACTGGGTGCCTTGAGCACTGAAAAAGAGCTTCAACTAGAAAGCACTCTGAGGTGATATTCTGTTAAAACCATTGCTGGAGAATCACTGAAGCAAAGTCTTGCTTGAAGTGTGAGCTCTCAGGAAATCCAAGTAGTTAACTTGAGGAGTCTTTGTAATTCAAGTGGTTGGTCATGCTTTTTTCCTTCTCTTGACTAACTACGTTTAGAGCATACATGTGTATTACATCTCTTTCTCTGTTTAAGCATTCTTCAAAGTATTGTAGAACCTTTTTAAGCAGACAAGAAAAAAGGGTGGGGGGAATGTCACCGCTTTAAACTGCTTTGCTTCTTATCCAGGCAGTGTGGCATAGCCTCATGTAGATGCAGCTTTAATTTCATGAACATAGTATGACATGATAATTTGCAAAAGGTTGATTGATTTGTAAACTAATATTAAGTAAATATCAGCTATTTATGACATGTAGCGCAGTTCTGTCTTTGTTGCAAATGGCCTCAGAAATGGTAGAAAAGGAACTTTAGAGTAGTTGTGAGAATATAATAGCAGAGACTGCATTTAAATTAAATTCGAGTTATAAGAGTTGGTTATTGCTATTGTTTTCCATAACTCACCTGTCCTGAGTGAGAAAATGTGAAAGATCTGTCCGATATGCTCAGTGGACCTTGGAGGTTATGATAAATGTTCCCAAAAATGAAAAAGTTTATCTGCAATCACAATGAACAAAGAATTGGGATTCAAGTATTGCTGAGCATATTCTTATTTTACTGTTGATTAGTTTTAATGATCTTTCACCTTTATATTAAATATATATTACATTTTGTAAAGATTTTAATAATGCCTTCTCTAAGGCTTTTTCTCTTATTCCTGCTTGACATTTTCTCTTAATTTGTTTTGAGCAGAAAGAGATACAGAGGAGAGAACTGATCACAGTGTTACAGTTTATTGGATACATCAGCTAACATGCCCAGTGGTTTCACTGGGCAGTATTAATATTGCTTTATATACTGTATAATTAAGTAATATTAATATTGTAAAAAGAAGAAAAAATGTTCTTGCTCCTTTTGTATTTCCTAAAGGAGCCTAGCTCTGCATATGTCAAATGCGATCATGGCCTGCCTACTGCATCAGCGCCTTCTTCCAGAGAGCTTGGTATACTGAGGAGTTCTGGATGCTCAAAATGTAAGGCAAACAAGGAATGGATGGTTTAAGTCCTCCCTGAACAAGAGGGGTTTTGAATCACAGTTTTGGATTCATGCACCTCAGTTTTAGAGTGACTGTCAAGAACTTACATTTGGGTTGACTGTTTGCTCTTCTGAAAGGCTGGAACAGTTTTAGATGCCTCTCCTCCCACTCTCTTTCCACCCAAACCTTTCCCTTTCTCCTCTGATTTGGTACTCCCCTCTAGCTCAGTGGGTACTCTGTTGTCTCTGGGTGAATGAGAGCGTAACTTCAAATCTCATGGCCTCTCCCTTCCAAACTCCTTCATTGCCTGTTAGCTTTGTTGTAGCTAACATAAATATTCAGCTCTAAGTTTTTAATACTAAAAAGATTCTGTACCAGGAGTACTATATGCAGTAGAAGAATGCATCAAGCAATAGTGTTATAGCTGGAAATAACACAGCCAAAGTCTACAAAGCATAGCAGGTAAATAGAGGAATGTGAGGAAGATTTTTACTCTATGAAGGCAAGTAAAGAGTAAAAATATGAGTTAATAGCAAAACGTATTACTTTTTTTGTATTACTGTTGGGTAAGGGCCCCTAGGTTTCTTTTGCTCAATCTCAGACAGCTACAGGAGATAAAGTAGTTATTGAACTGGTAAACACTCTCACAATCTATGGATTTGTAAAAGTTACTATTATTTTTTCAGGAAATGAAGGCTATACTGAAGGATTAATACTCACTAGGCAGTTGATCTCACTGAGAGAGGCTATATTTATTAAAAAAATAGGACTCCAGGAAGACAGCATAAACCAATTGCAAAAGGAAGCGCAGAACTATATGGAAATGTAGAAATGACAACAGAAGAAAAGAAGGATTCCCTGTAAGTAGGCAAATACCATAGAGAAAACAAGGTAAAAATTATAGTATTAGACAATTATGGTACTATCATTAAAAAAATTCATGACAAAAGGTAAAACAAAATCAGCAGTTCAGTAGCTGAAATAGAAATGCCAAAGAAACTGCAGACCCATACACCCAGTTGGCCAAACTGTGTCTTTATGCTACAGGGGGGAAAAAAAAAGAAGTTATTTTGATTCTGGATTATTATGTCCAGTGGATTGCAATTTTCTTGCTAGGAGTCTAAAGATTTTGTTGAAGTGTGTGATTTCAAGCATATTCTGCAGAGTTCAGAATAGCCATAAAGCAGCCTTCTTGAGCTAAATGGCTAGTTGGGTACCAGAGAGTTAGATTCAGTGTCTTAAAAGGTAGAATATTTTTAGCCAGCCTATTTTACCTGCTGTCGTGCTATTCAGAAGTTTAACTTGTGTTAAAATCAGAGGTAATGCTTATTAATGTATCAAATAGAGATCATGAAAAATATTATGAAGAGTATGATGAATTATGTTAAAGAATCACCTGCATTAAACCCTGATTGCCCCAAGAGAGCATACATATGGTCACAAAGGGAGAACCCAGGTACAAAAGACCAGCTTTCTTGTGAAGTTGCTGCTCATTCCTATGAGGTTATTATTGGCAAATGTCTTTAGGAACAGTAAAAGAAACAATCTGCTTTTTTCCACAAGCTCAATAAGAAAGGACACAGTAGAGCCAATGGATTGGACAGTGTGGAGGAGGACCTGAGCAGAGGGATGCAAAGATTAAAACTGAAATGCTTCATATATTTACACGACATAGAAGAAAACTCAGGGAGCTTGGTTGCTAATGTATCTATTGTGCTATCAGCTTTATATGTTTTATTATTTGTTGGGAGAAGGTCTGGAAAAGCATTTAGGTATCAGACAATGCTAGTTTGAGCCAGATGTTGGAAAAGTCCACTCCCCGCACGTTAATTTCTGGCACATTTTTATTTTCTTGCTGTTAGAGTAAGAAACCATCTTTCTATAAGCTCTGGCTTGAGGTTTCTCTAAATAATATTTCATAATCATTATGATCTGTTGTGTTCTCAATATCAGAGAATGGTGCACTATCAAATGTTTCTATTGCAAAATTAGTTTCCTTGAGGTATTACTATCCACCCTACAGAGAAGACTGCTGCCTTATTTAGGAGTATTTGTGCAGGAAAAAACATGCAAATTCATGTCTGACAGAGCATCACAGAACTGCTTTTTGGCCTTAGTCAACCAAGTGAAAAACCTGATACAAAACCAATAGGTTACAACAAAAGAACATATTACAATTCTAGAAACTTCAGCAAAATATTTTTACATGTTTGGTAGGGAGCAATCTTCCCTGTGACAAAAAAAACATGACATTGAGAGAAGATTGTGACGATTGTAGGAGCCGCCATTGTAATTTAGGAGCCTCTGCCCTCTAAAGAACATGCTGTGTGATTCCACACAAAAATCAGAGTAAGTCAAAAGTATCTTCTGCTGCCATATCAATTCAGCCATTTCCTGATAGGAATCTTAATCTTTGCTTTGCAGATGCTACCAAACCGAAAGGAGGAATGAGTAGACATTTTCAGGGGTCTTGGAGTTACTATAACAAAAATAGTAAAGTTGAAATGTGAGTTTGATAGGAACATTCACAAATCCCCACTGAAACTGGAACATCCCACTGCCTCCAAGAGTAATCTTTTAATGACTGCATTCTGGACATGGATCCACCATGGATTCAGCAACACAACTTAAGTTTTGATCTTTAATCCGGAGATGTCCATGGCTAAGGGTATACTGAAAGGATGTCATGCAGTTTATCTCGTGAACCTCTTCTGGCAGAGAGAAATTTTGGATAGGCATAGCTTTGCCAGAGACAACTTATGGCAAAAAAAGATGACGACGACCAGTGGCCTTCTAGGAAGATGTCACCAGCAGGAAGGGCTGCTGTGATGGGAAAGCAGCGGTAATGGGTTACAGGCAATCCTTCCAGAAGACATCCTCTAGGCTGAAGCTATTGTGAGACAAAGAACAGGTGGGAAGACCAGACCATCAGGATTTTGTTCTGGTGGATTTCATTCATGCCAAAACAGCAATCCCTCAGCATAGGGTGAACTACGTCTCGCCTCCTCCCAGTAAACAGGTAGGCAGAAACATAGTAAGCGTCTCTTCATCTCCCACCTCCTAAAACCTCCTACAAAATATTTTTCTCTTCTAATACTTTAAATCTAGGTTTCTGCAGCTTTTCATTAAGAGCATAACAAGATATAATCAAGGACATCTGATTATAAGCACATGTTGCATTAAAATGCTAAATCATAATGAAAAATATTTTATACATTACTGTAGCTTAAGATTTGTGCAACAAGTGCCTCATTACTCACATTTCCAGAAGAGAGGCACTTCATTTAAAAATCAGAGCCTGCCGGACCTGACTCCTTTCTTGGTAACAAGAAATGGATATGATTTTTTTGAAAAAGGCATTAAGGTTTCAGTCTTGGTTGAATGGGTATTTTATCTGTAATAAAGAAATACATTCTAATTTTGTGACTACAATGAAGCTGTGTTACCATCATAAATAATAACTAGTCCTCCCAAATAACACATTTTCCAGCTTATATAAACGATGTGTGGCTGACAAGGAACTCTAGAAATGAAATTTCTCAGACAGCCATGGCAAAGTGTGTGTTGGGAAGATCTTTCTCCTTTATGAATTCAAAATCCTCATAGACAGCTCTTTCTCCAAGTTACTGCCTGTGAATAGAGGCTTAAGGGTACTTCGTTGACATCACAACAAAGTGGGGGTTACAAATTATGCTGCTGCTTATTTAAATGTTCAGCTTCCTTGTTTTTAACAAGCAAAGTTGTTGATAATTAGCCAGCTTCCAGAAAAAAATTCCTAGTAGCTGTTCAAATTCAGAAACCATCACAACCCCAATATAAGCAATTGTTCGCCCTGGCCTGGTTCTAGCTGCACACTTACCACCATGCTGAAGAACCACAGCGACACAAACCCATTGAACAGCTCATCCCTTGCCAGCAGCTGTCCCTCAGTGGTCACCTCCAATGGGGAGGGTTGCTGAAGCCATGCTGCTGCTGCAGTGATTTCTCACACTGCACCCACCAAGGGGTGCTTGCGGGGTTTTTAAAGCGGTGCCTAGAGCTGCGCAGCTGCTGGATACGATGGCCACGGAGAATGCCTGACCTGTTGCCCAAAGGGAGGTAAGGCTGTGTGAGTGAGCGATTTGCGGGTATTTAGAAATTGTTTGAAATTAGGGCCTAATCAGATAGCAAAGCTTTTCTGTTAGCGAATGGTTTGTTGGGTTGTTGTTGTGGGTTTGGGTTTTTTTTAAATGTAATTTCCTTAAAGAATGTAGAAAGTAGGTGATGAAATAGTCCCTATGATGCAGACAATAGTCAGGGAATCCATGTTCACTAGAAGAAAAGCTCTGTTGTCCTGTGAAAGAGCTACACTTTTAGGTGATAATGCGAAGTTCCAAGGAAATATGAAAACCTCAGTTAGTGATATCTTAAAGCTGTTGGTATGATCCAGGAAACTCTTTAAGGCAGGGGGGTTTTAGGGTTTCTTTTCTCTCTTCTCTTCTCTTCCCTTTCCCTTTCCTCCCAAGAGCCATAGGACTGTGGTGCTATGAAGTGTATGAATATCAACTGGTATAACATATGACTGAATAAGCAGCTGTGGATCAGAATGACAAATTTCTTTTATCAATCTTATTACTGTGTGGGCACCTTCTTTCCCTGTGTCTCTCTTTCAGCCACGTAGACTACAGTATTTTTTTTCCTTTCTTTTCTCCAATACAGCTTTAAATCATATGCCAAAGTAAGATGCACTTGAATATGTGCCTAAAAAATAAACTTAGCGTGCCAAAGCAGGTGTTGGTTTTTTCCATACAGCCTTGAAAGACCTCTTAGTTACCTGTGCAAAAGGGGGTTATTCCCAGAAGTGTTGTACTCTACAAACTTGATGTGCTGCTCTATAACAGTCAGTAATGGTGCTGCTAGCCTGAAAGGGTCAGGTAAGATTATTATTTTTTAAAATTATATTTCCCATGTAAAATAAAAACTAGAGCCTTTTGCAGATTGACGCAGTAAATCAGAGTTAAAAAAATGAGGATTAGAATGTAAATTTTCCAAAGGCTAGCCTTTATTTTCTAAGCTAGTTATTGTTTATTAAGCAGATCTGTTTCATATTTCTATTATCTCAAAGACCTTTTTATAAAAGTATAGAAGTATCAGCATCACGGAGGCTTAAAGTGACCCTCTGAAAAAAATGAAGGTATTTGGATCAAGTAAATTATCTTATGGTGGCCTTCACTGTCTCTTTGGGTTTTTTTCTGCAAGCATTCCAGTAATCACCTTCCATTAGTAGAAATTATTAATCAAAGACTTGCTGACTATACATTTTCGGGGGGGGGGGAAGCCCCCAAACCTTCAGTTTTAAGGTTGAGTAATTGCTATCCGTCACTCATTCTGCCACAGTGGCACTGGAGATTAGAGAGGCTATATTTTTCTGTCATGGGGATTAAGGTTTGTCCAATGCACTATTTTTTTTCCACCAGCCAGCATTCTTACCAGCTGCTTTCATAAAATTTCAACTCCAATGTAAAGGGTTCAAACCATATAATTTTTGTCAGATTAATATTATTACGTACATGTAATTCTGATCTTCCATAAATGGTAGCTATTTTCACCATAAAATGAGGGGGTTTCCTGCAAAAGCCAGTATTTCTTTTTTGCAATTGTTGGCAGTATTCTTTTACGTTGTATTAAGTACAGTCGTGCCTGTGTTGATACTGCATTTGTGCTGCTGAGGTTTCCCCAGACCTTCACTATTGTGCTTCTGTGAGGGCATGTCCAAATTCCATGATGTTTCTTAAAAAAAAACCCAAAAAAACCCATTTCTCTAACCAGTTTTCCAGGTTGGTCCAATCCAGAAAGTATTCTCAGAGGATACATGATCCATAATCATTAATGAAAATCTTTAAGATTCTGAATTTTTTTTTTTCTCCATGATTTTTGTTGTCTGACATTGTTGTAGAGGGTCCTTACTGACCCTGGGCTGTGGAGCAACATGTGGTGGTGCAGTAATGATGTGGGGCAGGCTCTGTATCTTCCTTCATGGGAAAAACTGAGTAGTATCTGTGAGCATCTACCTCTTGGAGAGGTTTCACAGCCTGGGTTCTGGTGTGCAGCTAATTGCTGCCTTCTGGCCTGAACTACCAAACTACTGTGGTAATTGCATCCACTTGAGTTTTTGCTAAGATCTGGGATGACTTAGTCGTGCAGCTCCAATGGCCATAATTAATATCCAGATGCTTAGGCTGCCCCCTTCATCAAACTGCTAGTGCCTCTAGCCTGTGCTGTAGAAGACCCTTCGGCCATTTATTTGAGCTGCCATCTGAAAGGACAGTAGCCTGTGACTGCCTATTTATTTAGACTGAGGCAGGGTGGTTTTTTTGAGAGGGAGGATTAAGCTCTTATATTTCCTCCAACCTGATCCCCCTAGGTGCATGGGTGCTGGTTTGGATCTTCCTGTCAGAGCTGAATCCATGCTGATAGTCAGAGGAGCTAACTGTGCTTGAAAGAATGAGCCACTGGATGGAAAGTAAGAAAAGTAAGAAAGAAAATGTCATAGTATGATGCGATATACTGTATCCCTTAGAGTTTTCCTTCAAACAAATTATCTTAGAAAAATCAGTTAAATTGGTACCAGAGTTGTGTCCTGCCTTATTAATGTTTGAAGACAGAGATACAAATAGTAAAATAAATTTTAAAAAGTCAGTTTTATGAAACAACAAGGAGTTTTATTACGATATTTTATTATGTGTCTCTGTAAGGAATAGACCAACAACCATATAAAAGCTTACAAAGATGGTTAACCTTCAACACTATAAATGTGTTAACGCAACAGAAGTAGTTCACAATTTTGCATCTTTATTGACTTTTACAGAATGAAGGGAGAAAGTTCTCAACTATGACATGCCAATGACAATGTTTGACAGGAGACATTTACAATTGCTGTAAATCCTTTACTTTTTTAAGCAAGTCAATAACCCTGACTTGCAGAGTTAGGAGTGAAAAATACATTAGCACCATCATATGTGTCTTTTACACTTCCCTAATTTTAGTGGTCTTGACCAGCAATGACAGGAAAGTAGAGAAGCACCTTTGATAACAGAATACAATCCAACAATAGAATTATGGTGACTACTGACATTAAGGTATTAAACTCTTAAAATACACTGTACTTTTCCGTAGCTAATCAGTACAGAAATACACAATTTTGTAACAAATTATTCCACTGAATTGACCCAATGAGGCCAATGTGTTTTGATTTGATTTGATTGATTTTTTGGTTTGACTCTGATAGACACATCCCAGTTTCTGTCCGTGTTGAGGTAGTTGAAACAGGGAGGTCTTTCTAGCTTTATGGACTGCATCTTAGGAAGAAGGGTAAACTTTGGTACTGGGAGCAATCAGTGCTTTGTAAATTGGCTAACATTCAACTAATAGAACACAGTGTTGTTTTATTAAGTGTTGAAGTTTTATTATAGCACCACGGAGACATGTTTTGAAGATGGAATTTGGTAAAAAAAAAAAAAAATATAGAGCAAACAAGCATTTTTACTGTGTGTATAGCGAAAAAAATAACCCTTGATCTCAAATTTATTTTTTTCCCCCAGAAATTTGGTTAATAAATAACTGGGATACAGATGGTCACCTGTACTAGCTGACAAGGCCAAAACAAAGGAGCACAGTTGGAGTGTGAATCTGTTTGCTGGGATTTCAGAAAGAGCAGGATCTTTGATTTATAAGAAGCAGACCGGGCCAATGTCCACGCCAAATTCCTGATCAGGACCACCAATATCTAAAGGTGCGATATCAACCACAGGCAACCTCATTGTCTTGCGCGTTCTGTATTCAAAGACTGTTTTACCCCATTCACCAGTGTGTGTCTGTGAAGTTAAAAAGAAAATTTAAAAAAAAAAAAAGTTAGAGAAATCACTGTTGGGCTATGTGAACGTTATCCTATAGTTATTTTATCCTTTCCATATTAACGTGTCCCTCTCAACACCATGAAAACCGCTTGCTGTCTCCTTAGATATGTACATGTTGATAGACATTCTTTATTTGTGGACCTTTTATGTGAGGTCTTGTGGGGTTGTAGACCTTGCTGCTCAGATGGGATGGGATCCCTGCTGGACAGTAGAGAACTCTGGAGCAATGCTAGTGCCCTGACTAGAACTGAAATAGGGTCTGTGTGCTGGGACATGATGGTACAAATGGCTACTCTGTTTGGAAAGTGGCAGCAGTAATGAGGCAGCTCTTCATGTTCACATTAAAGAAATGGCCGCAAAGTAGATGTGTTCATGTATCTTTAAAGGACAGGTTTGCAACATGCATCAGTGTTTGTTGTGCTTTTGGGACCTTAAACAGCAGGAGGCAGAAATTGTGGAGGGTGTTTTGTATTTGTTACTGAAAGGGCCAGAGATGCTCATAGACCAGCACGTTACGGCTCCTCTCCAGTACTTCCTGCTGCAGTGAGCAATGTTGCATCTGCAAAATGACTGTTTGCCCCTTCCCATAATCATAGCCCATGGCTCGAATCAGCTAGCCTTCATTTTTTTTGTATGACTAAGATGATTCTTACTACTCTGAGTTGACATGGGATGGATCAAAACTTGGTCACTGTGACTTCACTGATTTTGACTCTAAAGTGAGGAGATACCTGTAAAGCACAGATTTAAATGGGAACGCACCTCACTTTCTACAGTTGCTATGGGAGTGACACTGCTGGCGTACAGAATCTAAAGTTCCTCAGTTAGGTGTAGCTGTGTTCTTTTCTTACCCAGGTCATGCAAAGCTCTCTCTTCCTTTATTATGGGTCTTGTCCTCTAGGGGGAATTATTTATTAAAGTATTCTACTAAAGTCTTGTTTACTTACAGTACAGCCATCTTCCAGAACAGCATATGTGAATTTGCTGTTCCCTTCAGCCTTGATCTCACTTTCCACAGAGCTCATCAGTTTCAGAGCTTTTTTAACATTTCCACTGGCTTGATCCATGTAGCCAATGCTGTTCTTGCAGTGGTAGGTGATGTTCTGGGAGGCACGGCTGGAGAGGATGCGGAGGAAGGCCAGCTGAACTTCCGAGACATCCTCTGGAAGCTCAGAATCTCCGTAGCTGAACTGCAGAGTTATACATAAGCAACAGCTTTTGTTTAATCGTGTCTAGGGACAGTCCATATAGTTATTATTTCACACACTAAATGTTTAGCTTTGTTTAATTTCAGGATTATTTATTAGTATGTTGTGATGTACATGAGTACAATACATGTACTGCCTTTTGGGCTGTTAACTGTGGTAATGCCTTACCTGGAAACCACCATTCATAGATTCTCCAAACCAAACATGTTTCTTTCCACTGCTTTCACTGGCCCACCAGTTTTTCCTTGGCACGGTGCTGGGGTTAGCATTAAGGCATGTCTCGCCAGTTTCCATATTACAGTATACTTTAATCGCATCCATCTTGCAGCCTTGGTTAGGATCAATCCAGTACTCTCCTAGAGGTAAAATAAACAAACAGATAGATAATAACAATGTTAAGGGGCATAATATATGTGGAGAAGAAGCTGACTGCATGAGGGTGAAACTTATTTCTAGGCCAGATTCCTGAGCCAAATTAGGAAGCATATTAATTTTGACAGAAGACATGCCACAGAAAATAAGATGATATAAAAATATACTGAGTTCACGTGAACTCTGTAATATGACTGACATTTGAATTAAATATAGAACTTATACTTTTCATGGGGTTTTTTTCCATAAAATTATTTAAACAAATGTTCGCTTATAAGCACGTAAGGAGTGGAGTTGAAGTCAGTGTATATACAGTGTAAATGCATAGTAAATGAAAGTTTGAAATTATTATCACATTTATTATCTTTACTAGTGGTGAAAATAAAAACCTAACATACCACTCTTGAGCTCAGGATGGCAGAATTTTAGATCTCTGCAGTTACGAGCTGGATTCTTCCGTGACCCATCAGGACTAATGATGTTTTCAATCTGGTTGTTAATTGATTTCATTGAAGATATGATGTCACCTAGATTGATATCATTTTCTTTTGGCTCATCTCGGTATTCATACCCGTAGCCCACTGGACCTTTTTCACCAGCACCCAGGGCAGCTGCACCACCACAACATGGACCAGGGGGACCAGAAGGACCAGGAAGACCAGGCTGTCCTGGTGGACCCTAAAAAAATAGTGAACATAGCACTGAGTAGAGATTACAGGTTAAAACTAAAAGCCGGTGTTGGCCTTAATCCTAAAAAAATGAGAATTCTCACATAAACATTTAGTTTACTTACTCACTAAATAATGGTACTTGCTATGTATAAACATCTGTTAGACTTTCCAAGCCTTTATTTTCCTAAAATTGGAATTGTCTTTTCTTAATTTTCTCAAGCTGTGACTGTCCTTCTTCTGTCTGGGCTTTGAGAAGGAGAAGAAACCCTTTCCACCAAAATCCAGAGAATAACCTTTTCTTGGCTTTAGAAGAAGCGATTATGCCAGGGACCTTTGCAGTGCTGGCCTCTCTAAAGGAGTCTAGGGAACCTGCTTCACAGCTTCCACGACACAAAGGCAGTCTGAGCTCTGAAGTGAGGAGCAGATCCTGCCTTCCTGCTCTACACAGACGAGTCAATGACTATCTGAGACTAACAGAATGCCCAGTGCATCAAGTATTACACAGAACTACAAATCATTTAGCCTTGATAGCTAGATACCTCCTACCATAAATTCTGGCCATAAAGTACAGGAATTTCTGAGGGAGATGATTAAGTGGGAGAGCACCCTATGTTTCATGAATAATCCCTGAAGATTTGTTTGTTTGAGTGCGCACAATTTACTTACTGCAGGGCCGCTTTCACCTCTGTTACCGCGAGGGCCAGGAGGACCAATTGGACCTGGATAGCCACTTGTACCATCTTTTCCAGGCGGCCCAGCTGGGCCTGGGGGACCCTAGAACAATGTTGAACACAAATAATATTGTCAAAATAGTTTACCCGATAATCTGAAATTCATAAATACTTTGTGAGAGATTTCAAACGTTTCTGTACGATCTATTAGGTGTCTCTCTTCAGCTGTTGCCTGTTAAAATTTTTTTTAATTGGCCATTTTTAATTTTATTTTTTTTTTTTTTAAAAAACAAACAGTCTGCACTTTCCTTCCAGTTATGCTAAGGAAGGAGTTTTTCTTACCCTTGCACCTGAAGCTCCTGGACTTCCAATTGCGCCTTGTGGACCCAGGGGACCCTATGAAGAGAAGGTAAGGAAAGTCAGTCATACACCTCCCAGTAATATTTTGTATCTGGCTGGATGTACCTTAAATAAAGACATTGAAACGTCTTTAAGATTACATGAAACACATCCTTATAAAAAGCCTACAGTAGATATGAGAAAGAATGGTTACCATTCTTTAACCGGAAAAAATTATCAAATATTCTCTATATGAAAAAAAATATTAGTGATGGACTCTCATCCAAAATGCAAGAAAGCCAACTGACATCAACAAGCTTTGGATGAAATCTTGTATTCGTAAGAGTACATAGCTCTAGGCTCAAAAAGCTGCATAGTACCATAAAACCGTATTACCAGTAAAGTTATTTAAATAATTTGACAAACACTAATGTTTTCAAATGCATTAAATTTGCTCTATGTATGCACCACAAAGAACTAAGCCATATGTTTAAAAATGATGAATCATCTCGCTGTCATAGTGTAAACAAGACTTTATCAGACTTTTGTTTTACTCATGTTATTGAGACAACAGGTTATATTGTGTTGTTAAGTAGGTTGGTATTGGTGGCATTTATAGTTAAACACTTCCATCTTTTTGCCATCATTGGTAGATTAACTACGTGAGTTTTGGTTCCTTGATTCTCACTTGTATCGTGAGTGATATTAATAGTTCTTTTCAGTATAAATCCCTCTTAAAATTTTTACCTGTCATAAATACCTACGGCATGCCTGTCTATTACCCTTCAATTATTTTAGCCATTAAGAACTGTTCAAAATGGTAATGCATGTTTACAATTCAGTAGTTTACAAAGTTTATAATTTCGTGCCCATTTTGTCGTAATATTAGTTACTGCAAAAGATGCATGACAAAAGAGAGGTCTTCAGACTCCGAGTAGCTTTTCCATGGATTTAGATGTCTGTCTAGCATAGACTTCTAATAGACGAATATTTCAACCCCTATTTCTGTATAATACAATTTAATCAGGAATAGCCTGTATAAATGATAGGAAAAATATTTGTTCCAGGCAAATGCACACATGTAGCTGAAAGGGATTTTAGCAAACCCAGCTTTAGCTCCTAGCAGCTTCTTCCAGTTCTTCGTTAACACTTATTTCACATTGATTCAGGGAATCTGGACTTTTGAACACATTTGACAATCAAATTACATGAGTTCTTTATACTTTTTTTTTTCTTTCCTCAGTAAATTATATAAGGCTCATTAGCTACTCGGAGCCCAAGCCACAGGAGCTAAGAACAGCTGTAATTCCCAATCCAATGCAAAATACTCACAGGAGGACCAGGGAGACCAGGGGTACCAGGAAATCCTCTATGACCCTTTATGCCGTTGCTGCCTCTTTCACCAGTTTCACCTTTATCACCACGAGGACCTTGAGGACCCTTTAAGAGTAGATTTGCAATAAAAGGAATATATAAAGAAATAAGAAAAATGCCCAAATAAAAGGAAATAATGAATTTATGATATCACAAATACTTTAAATATGACTTACAGCAGGACCACGAGCACCAGCAGGACCCGCAGAGCCAGGAGGGCCAGGTGGACCCTGTGACACAATAAGAATAAGATGGCACGGGTCACTTGGAGTTGACTAGAATGCCTTTTTATTTCCAGATAAGCAGTCTGCTCAAAGCCAGCAGCTCTTTGGAAACAAGGGGAAGGTCCACACACGCTATATAATCAGCAAGAATTTGGGCCAGTTCCTTTTTCTACCATGTTAGTCTTACTCAGCTGCTTGTAGGCACTGATACATACCACATGCCCTAGACCGCTTCTTCATTTTGCTAGGTGCTCAGTGCAAAAGCTGTGCTGGTGTCAGCACTTCTTAGAAATAGCTTGAAGACTTCCAAAGTTACTCCCTTAGTTTAAATAAATAATATTGCTTGTGCTGCATGAACACCAGATGGGATGGAAATTAAGATAGGGCCTGGTGGGATGATGTGCTTTTTGGCATCCTAAGGAGTATGTGGATTTTGAGATTAATTTATATACAGTTATCAGCAACATAAACTGTGATGTCCTTCCCCTTGATAATCTTATAAACGAGGTCCTCAATGCCAAGAAACTATGACAGTAACAAATGTATGACTCTTCCAGACTTCTACTTTATTACAGCATGAAATGGACTTTGCATAGGAAAGGTATGTAAATAACCAGCAAGCTATTTACTTTGGTCTTACCTGAAATCCTCTTTCGCCAGCTTTTCCAGGTGCACCGTTGTTACCTGCAGGTCCAGGGTGACCAGGAGGTCCCGGAGGGCCAGGAGAGCCACTTTCACCACGGTCACCCTGCAGATAGTCACAGTTGACAGGGTAAGAAATGTAAAGTTTTGCAGAACTACAATGTAAAGAGTATATTCAGTGTAGCATAACAGATTTAAGGAACAAGTTGCATAGCACAGAACTAGCTACATATGTTGTCATCTCTACATAACATTTATTTGGCAACCTAGAGACATTGGTGATTCCTTACTTTGCCTCCTGGGGATCCATCACGTCCAGGTGAGCCATCTGAGCCAGGGTTACCCTGGAGAAAAAGAAAAAAAAAAGTGGTACAGTTTGTTCATAAGCTGGATGCTGAATAGACAGCTTGTTTTCCAGTAAGCTTAAATAATGCTTGTCAGAGAAAGCTTTCAAGATGGAAGACTTCCTGGAGGCAGAGGGGCCCATAAAAGATCTATCAGACCTGCATTATTTTCTAGGCGCACAGGCAGTGCAGTCTCTTGTTCAGCTCCAAGTGCAACAGAGACCTGGTCCATAGATAGTAAGGGATATAGCAGAGACAGCAAGCTACACCTCCTTACATGAGGATGTAATCTGCCCAGGCCCCTGTGCATCAGGCACTTGAGGGAGGCTTTGTGAACCTCAAAGCACATTCAGTCCTCGAGTCTCCAGTTTGTAACTCAGAAGCTAGCAGGAAGGCCCAACAGATGCACTCACATCTCTGCCAGGTTCTCCAGGCAAGCCTCTTTGTCCCATAGGGCCTTGTGGACCAGGAGCACCACGTTCTCCTGGGACACCGTTGCTGCCTGGTTTACCATCTTCACCCTGAACACAAAGGGAAAGGATTTTGTTGCAGGTAATGCACTTATGAGCTACCATCGTATTATACATCTTTAATTAAATATGCAGTGATTATGAAGAAGATCTAATTAAGTGAAGAGCAATGTGACTTTGGTGATTGTGAATACTCGAAAAAGGAAAGATAAAAACTTGGCCAAACTGGTTTCTTTTCATTGCTAGTAATATTCATGCAAGGCCACTGAACCCAAGGAACGTTCCTTATTGTTTTTGTCAACTAAGAAATAATAAATGGGTATGTCTCTTTTTATGTGCCCAAAACCAATAGCCAAAGCAGTTAAAAAACTGCTAGTCTGTCACAGTATTAGCAATAAAATACAAACCAAGCCTCACACTACCTTTTCTGGAATGAGGTGAAACTATCTTCCTGTTTGGGTCATAATATTTAAGCAAGAAACATATTGACAATTAAGCAAAGATACACAACTTGCGGTAGGTGAAACTATGACTCAAATCTTGTCTCAAGGAGAGTTTATAGCCCATCATCCTACTTTAGAGGGTGAAGTTGGTTGTATACTTCTAGATAATCTGATCCAAGACTCTTTGTAATAGACATTAAGACAACCTCACATCCCATAGCTGCTTGTTACTGGACATTTTAAAGCCTGGTTGTAAACAACCAGGTTGTAAACAAAAATATGGTTGTAAACAAAAATAACTAAATCCTGTAGTCTCTGGACTAAAATACAGCACATTCATTACTTTTTGTAACAAAGCTATTTTAGCAGCTGGATTACAGTCGTTGCGTTAGCTTTGAGGCTATAGCTGCAGTGAAAGCACACTCACCTTGGCGCCTGCCATACCGGGTGGACCGCTCGGGCCACGCAGACCTGGCAAACCTGTGTTACCCCGGCCACCAACAATGCCTTGAGGACCTGGATCTCCTGGTAGCCCCTATTTAGGAAGAGGTCAGATCAGTCAATACTGAGGATCTTCAGCAGGTAGCTGCTTATTCTTGACAAACATAATCCTTGTCAATTAGTATAATGGTCCCTGGCTAGACACGTACTTACCCTTTCTCCTCGTGCGCCTGGTGGCCCTTTTTCGCCTGGTGATCCAGGCTCACCTCTTGTTCCAGCAGGTCCTGGACTGCCAGGAGAACCAGCACTACCAGGGGGTCCGGCAGGCCCATCCTTGCCTGCAGGCCCTGCATTACCAGGGGGACCTGGACTACCCTAAAAAAGAATTGCAAAGAGAAGCGTGTGAGCTGTGTTACCTGCAATAGTAGCACACACTTACTGGTGTTGATCTTTCCTTATGAAAGCCAACCAGACTTGATTCATTGCCCAAAGGTGGATTTAGGGTCCAACCTCTATGCACCCAAATCTGATCTGGACTTACGAAGAGAAGCCTTTTGCCTACCACTTTCAGACCTGATTTATTTTTTTTCCCCTCCCTACTGTCATCTGGACATACGGGTTGCATAATACACCTGCCTAGTTTGGATGCCCCCAACACAGGACACACGTTCCTTACCCAAGGCTCTGCCACAGAAATTTGAAATAGTTGCAGACCCCGCTGATTTCTTGACTCACTCATGCCAGATACCTTTAAGGTGGTGTTCTTTCATTAAAACTCTTAGCTTAGCCAATCCAGGGAAAGAATTAAGTTGACTTTAATAGTACCTTAAATAAAAATCCTACTTTTTATTTTAATTCAGCAATGTTCTAATTTGCATACGTCTGTAACTATAACACAGAAAATAAACAGGTGTTTATACATGTTTTATATAAAAGCTTTCTTACTTTATATCTCAGTTACCATACAACAAAGGATAACTTAAAATTGTGATTTTTTTTAGAATGGATAAATCCATTGTATTATTTGCATCTTCTTACTTTTTAAAGAATCAAAAATCAGAATCTAATTTTTACTATGTGACTAAAAGCAGGTGCATGTTGAACATGCAAGGATATGATGAAACAACTCTTCTTTACACAATGATATTGTATAAAATATTGGAATTAGCTGGTGTATCAGCATACATTTTTATAAGAGGACTCTGCAGACTGATAGATTAAACTTCAGATGTAGGCCATATCATAAGAGAGAAAATTTGCCACAGGAATCTTGCCAAACACCTCTGTCCTAAGATAATTAAATCTTATGCCATTTCATTCTACAGGCAAGTTAAAAACAATTCTCAACAGTGATCTACAAAATGTAGATTTGAAAATGCATACCAATTCAAGATCCTGAATTGAATATTTCTTGCATCATAAAAGAGCAAGGGAAAAGACGGGATGTCTGCCACCAACATAAATACTCAAGGACCTGATCCAGGAGAAGGACTCGACTAACTCTGATGGGCTTTGGAAGGCAAACCATAATAGAAGAAGGAATATCAAGACAGTAAGTGAATGAATTGCTATTCCATATGAAATAAGAGAGTAAACTCTCTTTTACAGATGTTTTTCCTTAAGTCCAAACACCCCATTCAGGATGCTTTTACTTATGTTATATTCATGTCAAGGTACATACAGCTTAATCTAGTTTCATGTATTAATATATATCCAAATATATCCGCAAAGTAAGAATAAAAAAAAAGGGGGGATAAGACAACTTACGGTGTTACCAGGGGGACCAGGTAGACCACGAGCACCAGGGAAACCAGCAGCACCCTATAAGAGATCAATACTTTTAGTTGTCATTTTCTGAAGACTGGAAAAACATGAATGAATTGATTTTTATACAACAGCTGACTTTGAATTATATTTAGCTATTTTGCTTAAAATCTGACTTAAATGTCCTGGAACTGAAGAATTTAATTTTTTAATTTTTTTTTTTTTGTTTGTATGGGGTTTTTTGCAAGAGAGGGTCCCATATGTTTCTCAAAGGTGAACTAATAGGCTCTGAAAAACTTGGCAAAGACAGCGTGTAAATCTAATACTGTTGAGATAAGCCATTTTATAGCTTTGGGTCATTATGCCAAAAGCTATTTTGGAACCTTACTTTTAATAAAATCAATGTAAGCCAGATCACTAAACACCACAACTTCAATTACTCCTTCTGGAACGCCTTAATTATTCTTGAACTGCAGATATTAAAGTCACTGCAGGTCTTGTTTGTCATTTACATCATGTTTGTTGTAATAGATAGTAATTTATCAGTGACTAAGTCAAAGAGATACTCACAGGGCCTCCAGGAGATCCACGTTCTCCTTTTGTTCCTTGGGGACCAGGTGGACCCTACATGCAAGGAAATAGATCAAGCAAATGATTGATATTTCATAAAATTATAGGAAGAGTCATTAAGTTTCAGGCAGTTCAAATGCTTGCACTTGGGCCTAGCCGCCTTGAGGCTGAGGGAGAACTGAAGAAACTTCTCTTTGTAGCAATAAGCAACAGCAAAAACTTACTGGTGCACCAGGACCACCTTGTGGACCTGCAGCTCCAGGGGGTCCAGCCTCTCCTCTTAGACCAGGTGGGCCTCTTTCTCCTTTCCCACCAGGTTCCCCATTTTGGCCCTGCAGAAAAATTATATTGCTATATTACATCTCAAAAAATGCAGATGATATAACTGTGATGAGAAGCCCTATCTGGATACTGTTCTGAAGGGAATTTAAATATGAAATTAAATGTGAATGCAGTTGAACTCTATTGGTCTACCAGTACAGGAAGGGAACGATCAAGAAATGTTGCTCTATGTGTGACTGGGTACAGAAAAAGTAGCAAATGAATCAAATGTATGTAGCAGGTATGTATATTAAAGGGGTTACGGCAAGCCTTTCTGAGATGTGGATGGACTTAGAGAAACTAAAACCAGATAATCATATTCAATTCCTTTTAAGTATTTGTACTTACTGGAGCTCCAGGGAAGCCAGCAGGTCCAGGAAGACCTTGTTCTCCTCGTTCACCCTGTAGAAAACAACATGTGAGCAACAGAAGATGTTAGAAAGATAGGCTTAATTTTAAAAGTTAGAGAACACTCCCACGAATACTGCTGAAATTTCTTTGTCTTATCAGCCTTTGGAGGAAAAAAAACCCAAACCCAAAACAACAGTTGCTCCTGAGTCTAAAAACAAGTGTTCATGACTTATCAGACAATTATCTACAGCGTGACAAATGGATCTCAGTTACACTTGTATAAGCCCTGAGCACAATCCATGGTGTTCCCCAACTGAGAACCAAATGTGCTGTTTATCAATCTAAAATACAACTATAAGAATAAAAGTATTTTACTTATTAAAGTTTACTTAACTTTAAGACAAGATGGAAACAACTATTGCTCACACTTGCCCTGACCTGTCACCGCAGCTCTCCAACCCCTTTACAGTGTTAAAAGCACTGGTTTTCTGAAGCCCTTTAAATCCCAAGAGTCAACAGGAGCCGAATGTGCTTAGTTTATTTTGAACTCAAGCCACATAGGTTCCTGATAGGGTCAGAACAACACTGATGAATGTACCAGGCTAGAGGAGCCATGATGAGGTTATACTGGAAGAAAAGTACTGTCACTTACAGGACCACCACGGGAACCCATTGGACCTGGGGCACCTGCTGGACCAGTCTCTCCCTGTAAGGAACAAGAATGATTACTGGGTGTTTTTCTTCTTCCCATGAGACAGCCACCGGTTTGACTGTTTACAGTATCAAACGTCATTATGGGCAATGCCTTACCTTATCTCCAGGCGGGCCAGCAGGACCAGGAGGACCGATGGGACCTACGTTACCCTAAAAAATTAGAAAACAACATATTTTGTATCAAAATATGGCAATGTTAATTCCTCTATTTTGATGAATAGCATTTATGTTTCAAACAGGTTGCTAGAGATATTTTAATGGAAGTAAATCTACAACACCACTGTGCTATTGCATACTACGTTTTGGAGTGACACTAATCTAATCCAAAATCACCTGCATTTAATAGGTGTCTTTCAATGGTAGACAATAAAAGTTATCCACTGCCCTAACTTTTCATACAGATAATTGGTCCATATTTCTTCAGCATATGTTCAACATCTCTGACTGGCTTCCTGACTTTTTTTTTCTTGAGAATTTAATGCATACCTGATGGTTTGAAATACATTTTTTTGTATTTCCTCCAACTCATACAGGCTGCATTTTTATATTTGTCATCCCTCATTATTTTGATCTATATATGCTTGTGTGTACATGTATATATTTCAAGTGTCTATTTTATGTGTATATGCTAATAGATGTATAAATATATATTATAACCTGTAGAAGTATTCTGTATGAGAATACTTACTATCATGATGTATTTTGTGCTTCATTATAACTAGCATTTTCCTCACCAGTCAGCTAAATTTAGGAAGCTAATAATATTTTCTCTACTTTGTATTGGTGCTTTCCCTCCAAAACATTGTCCAATTAATTGTAATCTTCTGCTTGCAAACAATTCTGTTATATCTACCCAAGCAGCTGTAATCACAAAAACTAGTATTAAGTCTAATTTAGTTTACGAAACCAGATTTGCTCTGCTGGAATGACATACACTGGGATTACTACTTTACCTCTCCTAGACAGTATTTATTCACTGTAGGTTTACTCATGTTCTGATTATATGAAGCTAATTGATAAACTGTTGGATGATTAAAAGACTACTCACTCGCTCTCCTCTTGCACCAGGAAGGCCATCAGCACCTTTGCCACCGGGTTCTCCCTAGTGAGCATAAGACATAAAAAAACATAAGCAAAAAGTAAGCATAAGACAAGCATAAGGGGAGGGGGAAAGAAAAATTAAAACATTACTGAGGATGGGATCTCATCCTGAGGGTATCTCGATAACCAGATTTCCTTATTGTGATCATACAAATCTAAAACTGGGGTTGACATTCTGCCCAGTATTCAGCATCAGATACTGAATACTTTGATGGAAAAAAAAAACCCCAAACTGATTCAAAATAGAGTCTATGCTGAACAGTTTGTCCATGGTATGAACTGTTCTTGTTGTTTTGACGTACCCCTCCCCCAAGAGATCTGACAGCAAAATATCTAGCATATATTAAACCAGATGAAAAAATCCTATATTTTTTACCATATAGGACCCCTATCACACTCCTAAATCAACAATACTGCTACACAGGCAGTACCTCTGAAATCAGGCCAAACATGAAGATGTGAACAAACCCAGTGCCTTGTTGGAAACTAACACCAACTTAGCATAAAATTGGCCGAGCATGTGCGTGGGTGTCTATGGGTGTGTTACCTTATCTCCTTTTGGTCCAGGACTTCCAGAAGCTCCTCTTTCTCCTGGCATTCCCTGTAAACCAGGCAGCCCTGTGCCTCCAGGGGCACCAGGGGGTCCAGGAGGACCCTAAAGAGTAACAAAAAGTAATAAAAGATTAAAAAAAAAATATTAACCTGAATGATGCACATAATAGCAGGAAGTAAGCATTTCTGTGGGTACCTTGGCACCTTCTGAGCCAGCAGGACCTGGTCCACCTCTTGCTCCAGCAGGTCCTGGAGGACCCTGTGCACCACGTTCACCTGGGATACCATTTTCACCCTGTGGCAAAGAAATGTATTATTCTTTGTTGTCGAGCTCATAGTTCATTAATTGCTTAATGTAATTATAGAACCATTGCTGTATGATTTACCTTAGGGCCTGGGAATCCGGGTCCTCCAATATCGCCTTTTGGCCCCTGTTCATGAGAAAATAAATGCAAGTTATCCATGCATTTTACTTAGTAAATCTGCATTGTGGCTGGCACACTCTCTCGCCTATTATCCCTTAAAGCAGACTTCTCTGCTCTGCAGAGTGCTGATAGCCATCTGAATTTGGAAATGTAATCTAGAAAAAGCTTTTTTTTTTTTCTTTTTTTTTTAATAAATGAAAAATATATGAAAAGGAACTACTCCTTACTGGTTCTCCAGGCTTTCCATTCTCTCCAGCTGGTCCTGGTCCACCAGGCAAGCCCTGTATGAAGGAACAGTATTATCATCTCTGTTACATAGATAAATTATGCATTTTCCTATCTAGCAAATTTTTTTGACATGAAGATGTATCCCTAGCTCATTCCAATCCTTTAAAAAGTAGGAGGTGCTGATTTGGTAGCTAGAAGTTTTATGTGACATAATCTACTGAGCTAGCCATCTGGTTGACAATTATGAAATACGAAGCAATAACTTGTGCCAGGTGGTTGAGCTGTCTTCAAAATATGATGGCGTGCACCCTAATGAAAATGTTTAGATGCCTCCTTTTTTTGTGTGTGTCTGTCTATAAAAAAGGCTCAAAAAACCAATGAACAAACAGCACCTGGAGGCCGGGTGGACCTGATGGTCCTGGTTCTCCTCTTTCCCCAGAAGCACCCTAGAATCAAACAAAAGAGAAAAAAAAAAAATATATTGTCTGAGAATATTTCAACATATAAACAACTCCACACCGCCTCTAATCTATACCTTCTTATTATGATCTGATGACAACATTGCACAATCCCAAAGACTAATGTATCTTGGTGTTCTGGTATTTGCTCTTTTCATTCCAACCATTAGCTGTAATTCAGCACATTTAGACTTGATACTAGTCCAAAATGTTAGCTCTGATAAATGTTAAAAGGAGCAATAATATGCTTCAATTTGAAAAGGTGGTAGATCCCCAAGAGTTGTAAATTGACTTTTCATTTTAACTTACATGAGGTGTATCCAACTCAGGTTTCTCCTACCAAAGTTTTGAGTATTAATTTATTAAAATAATGGCAAAGAAGAGCTCTTTTATTTGCCTCATAAAAGGAGATTTCTTTATATCACTAAAAATATTTTTCTCCCCCCCAAATTCACAGACTCTATCTGCAGCAATAACTTGCTTGGCAATAACCGATAATTGCCTCTTATGGGGACTATCACACTTACAGTAGGTCCAGGAGGACCTGGGAGGCCAACATCACCATTCTTCCCAGCAGGCCCCTATACAAAGACAAAATTAGGCTATGGTAATGTATTGATATAATTTTTATGAGTCACAATAAATTATTAATTAATATTATGTGATTATTAAATTATTCTATAAATAAACAACATGTTCATGAAACTTACAGGTGTTCCAGGTGGTCCACCAGGGCCTCGTTCTCCATTCTTACCCGGTGCACCCTTGCAAAAGGGAAAGATCCCGTTTAGAATACCTGTTCCGGTCAGCAGACAATAACTTAAAGCTGCAGCAGCAGATAGCCCCACTACGGAGCAACTGAACAGTTGACTAATGAAGCATAAGCACAGGAGAAAAGGAGAAATCCCACTCACCTCATTGCCCTTAGGACCAGGGAAACCCATTACACCTGGCTGACCACGGGGGCCTGCGGGGCCAGGTGGCCCAGAGCGGCCAGATTCACCCTGACTACCCTGGGATAAG